GTGGCCCTGCTGGCATCACCCGAATCTTTTTCAATCGACGTTTGTTAAAGTACCTGGGTTTAAAATTGTTGCCTGAACTGTCACTTTTTTCCCCCCTTCATATTGGGGTCTTTGGGGGTCAATGGAACCCTGATTCAGACTCACACGCTGCAGATCAGTTCTAATAGGGCTCTATTGTTGGCTGCAATCAGCCAGCAACAGATCACTAGAGCAGTGATACACCACTTTAGGGAGAGGTTGGTCAGAGCTGCAACCGCACTGCTGGGAGCCCCTGCACTGATAGGAAGCACCTTGACATTGCTACACTCCTGACGTAAATGCTATGAGGAAGCATAATCTTCACATTTGCTTCTGGAGTGATCTGTAGAGCAAATGGAAGCCCAAAAATGGCTATTCCAACTCCTGGGTTTACGTGCTAGATGTTCCAGCCAGAACTCCCATCAGGTCATGCTGAATCCTGGTGTCATGTTAAATCAGCACTGGAGATTCAAGTGGTTAGCTGCAATAACAAATTAAAGACCTCGACTCCTAAATACACTACTTCTTCGAACCCGATAGATTATGAGCTAACATGTCTAAACCAAATTTTTTTTATTTTTCCTATGGAGTGGGTAAGGGTTGGAACATCTGTCAGTTTGCTTTTCTGTGCCTCCACGGAGGAGATTCACTGCCACGGGGAATGAGTGATGGAAAATCCAAACTGTTCGTTGTCTTTCGCCCAGGGATTAAAAGGTATATTCTTCCAATGGGGGTACCTGTTCCAGTGACAACTGCCTATGGAGATGTTTCTCTATAACTTTGAACAGAAAGTAAACATTACTTCACTATCACAGGACACAAATAAAAAATTATCAAACTATTCCATACTGTTATATGGAGGTTTGACTTTATAACATACCCCAAGGTCTTTGCATGATCAAAGAGCTGTTTCCCATAACCCATAGACTCAAAATCAGTAATCCCTTGTCTCTAGCTAGATTGGATGCTGGTGGCTGTGGGTTATTATAAAATGCACTTTGCTCAATGAGTCACACAAATGAAACTGTGGCCTATACTTTTATGTTTCGGGTAAATAGAAAATGAACGTTTTAGTATGACAGCTGCATGAGCAAAGGACTGGACCTGTTTGTCAGCGTAAGGTCCAATGTTGTTATAAGTGAACATGATCATAGATTCCTAGTAACAAAAAGAACTGTTTGATATACATGGTAGAACCCCTGTCCTTACCGAGGCTACTGTTATGAAGGGAATAAAATATAGAAACGGAAATATATTCCATAGACTTGCTCTCCGCATTCTGAGAACAGAAAACTGAAGCCCAATGACAGCTAGGAGGCCACTGGTAGTTTATGAACTGTTCTGCTCTATAATGGTGCAGTGAGAATCATGCAGTCACATGAAACCGGTTGTCCAGACCTGTTCAGAGGCTGGCGAAGCTGACTTCTCTGGAAATGCTAAAGCCTTTGTGCCTACATGCTTGTTTTGAGCCCATAACTCAGAAACTAATGACGCCACAAGATTTGTCATTCCAGTCCTTTCACGTCAATACTTTCTGAGCTACTGGCTCAAAATGAGCTGTATGCACGGCGGTCAAAACTACTGATACACCTACCTGGGTCATTGGTTGAATCAAAATCCAGAGAACTAGCATTTTTTAGGAGATATCAGTAAATGACATACAGGACATAGCTCTGGTAAGAGATTTAGCTCCATTTTGGTGTTGGCTGGCCCAATTCTAGGCTGATGTGAGACAGGTAGTTTTAGAGCTTCATGTCCCTTTACCAGAAGTGCACTTTTTTTTTTCTCTAGCCAATCTCTTTTACATCTGTAAACGGGAGCCATGTCAAACAAGCACGCCAGCCAATTGCTAGTAACAGATGCAACATTTAGCATCCTGAATATTCCTAATGCTTGTCGGAAATGCATAGCTATGTATTTCTACATACAGGGTCTGCAGGAAAAAAAAATTGGCACCTGTTACTGTGGCAGGGCCACGTGGCCCATCATTGTAAAATGCACTTGAAAGATTTGTATGTTTTGGCACAGCACTAAAAACTACCCATCGGACATCAGCCTTTCTCAGGGAGACTGCTCACTCTTGAAGTAACAGTTTTACATAAAGGGAGCCCCATTGGCCATTTCAACTTTTAAAAGTAGATGTCGCTTCACAGAGTATGCACCAAAACGGTGTGCTATTGCTTTCGCTTTTCTGGAAAAGGTTTCACTCTCTTACTAAAGCTAAAGTAAAGACATTGATCCCTGACTTTAGGGCTAAGCCCTACCAACCCAACGTCACTTGTCAAATGAGAGATCCATTACTTTAGGAAGTGGCAGGTAGGAGGAATTTTATCCCAAAATCAGCAAAGCCAAGCCTGCCATAACAAAGTAAAACTGATTTCAGATGGTGCACAGGAGGGGCTTTTTAGAAGAAATCAACTTACCAGCATGAACCTTACTTTTAAAAGTTTAAAGGACAAACTTGTTGGTACCCCTACAGTTCATTGGAACTATGCTTCCTTGCTCCTGAAAAATAATGAAGTTAAAACAATTGCCTCATGTATACCTTTCGTATGTCAGAGTAAAGCAAAGAAAGTGGGAAAGGAGATAAACTGTTGCTTATTCTACCAAGATATTCTAAAATGGTCTGGACAGATTTGTTGGTACCCCTAGAAAAGATTATAGGATCAGAGTAATATTTTAAACTGTTTCCTGTAGTTCGTATCACTCATGTCTTCAGCCTTGTAATTAGTCAGCTGACTTAAATGGAGAAAAGACATCTGCTGCTTGGTATCATTGAACATGAACCAGAGAAAGCAAATTTGTAACAGCCGGGCCATACAGATTCGTGCTGCATGCGCGGCCGTATCAGGCAGCTCCCGGGAAGGACAGGTGCTGCGTGTGATTTGTACACAGCAGCCTGTTCTCTATAGGAGGACGCGGCCGTACGAGCCCCACGCTCACCTGAACTGCATGTCCTTTTGTGTGCGGGTGTCTGTACTTGTCCCTGTAATTTGATGTGGATTCATTATTCCAAAAACTTGAGAATTTAATGCTACTTTAAGGGTCCCATAATTTTCGCCCATGCCATTCTCCTTGCTTTTATTTAAACTATTCTGTGGAATCAAAAATCAAAAGCAAAGTCTGGTTTTTATTAAATACGGAACAAACAGTGATGGATGGCAATTCATTTTGTCAGTTTCAGGTTATTTTGGAGAAAAGTGTGGGTTTGTCTTTTTTCCTGGAAGGGTACCAACAAATTTGCCCCATGTCTGTATATCTAAAGCCAAATCTTGTTGTCTCCTCATTTTGGATAGAGTCAGATTTTCTTTTGCCATCTGTATCTCATTAAGGAGATTTCCTTTCCCTTCCCTTCCTGTTCGACAGACACAACAGAAAGCGAGAGTATATATATCTTTCCAATGTAAGGGAAATCCTCCTCCACCGAAGCAAGTGTCCTCTTTAGAAGATTTTTCTTCTGTACCTGTTCTGGTGGCAACTAAACGTTTTGGATTTACCCCCACATTCTCAGTAACTCAGGAAGATTCACACTCTCTAACTGTTCTGATCACAAACGAGGACCACAAGAGCATTAAAAATCTGACAGTGGTTCAAACCCCTCACCACTATCCAGATCTATAACAATTAAAAAAATTGCCTTTAGTTATACTTTGAAATGGACAACATGTTCACATTTGAAGGCAATGTGTCATCTACACATACAAAAAGGTAAAACCATTTTTTTTTTTTCTTGTTCAAAAATGTGACTATGTGCTCAGCTCCAGCTACTTAAAGCGACCTTGTCAGGGTTAAACTCAAAAGGAAGGCATCTGGAATAGAAGAGCAATTATACACACAGTGTCAGTCAGCTCCTTAGTTCTAGCTTCCAACCCCTACATCACTTCAGAACACAGCAGTGACATAAGGTCTGGGACCATGGTACACAGTGGTGACACACAGACTGGTATGAAAGCTTTTCTATCGCATGCACTTTACTGACAGGGCAGCTTTAACTGCTTGGCTCATCCGCACCAAAGCCTAAAATACAGTCATCAAGCTAACTCAATATCCAAATTCTGATTCTTAGTGAACTGAATAAAAGTAACTGGCAACTTATCTAATTTATCCTACGAGGCAATGTTCCCGTTGTCCACACCAACCAGATCCACATTTCAATCTCCCGAATCAATACTAGGGAATGACGAGTGGGCTGGTGGTCATGGCCATCAAGAACAGTCCCTAATGCGTTCTCCATTTGTGAAGATGACAAGTGCAATGTGACTGTAAATAAGAATTGACCTTGCATGAAGCATACAGAATTGGAGGTCTGGTCTCGGGAACATAAATAAAAGAGGATAAAGGTATATATAAAGTAAAAACAACTAAACCTAAAGGGCATCTGTCACAAAGCAGGGACGCTTCAGATGGAGAGTCCAATACTCTTGGTCAGCGAACCATTTTCTGGGCCGTGATGTTAGACTCTTAAAAAGTTCAGACTAACATCTGTGGAACTGGTATTTTGTTTCATGACAGATGCCCTTTATGGTTTCATGTGAGAAGGACATTGCGGGTTCACTGTATGGGTTGAATTTGACAAGGGACACTTGGTTGTAAGCTCAGACTGCCTACCGTTTGCCTATATTTTAGAACCACTGGCTGAATAAATATTATCCAGGCAAAAAACAAAAAAGTTCAAAAAAAATTAATCCTCCTCTAAAGGAGGGTGGGTGGGGATCCAATCCATTTGAAGATGTAGCAGTTATGCATGTATCCATAGATCGTGGGAGTTTAGTCAAGCAGAGAGTCTTGAATTCCCACTTGGTTCAGCTTCTTCTTCTTCTTCATCCTGACCAGACGACACTCAGGGTTAACCTCTTGCACTGCACACCCCCTGGCAACCCCAG